GTGGTTTGTCTGTTTTGGTTGTTCTCTACTTCCTGTGCTTTTTTTCTCGATTGTGAATTTGTTTCCAAACTTTCTCCTTTAGATGCTTTTGACACTGAGCAGTTGTTAGATTGTATTCAGAAGCTCAAGAGTGGGCAATCTTACCAAGTTCCCATCTATGATTTTAAGAACCATCATCGGTGCTCAGATAGTTTCCGTCAGGTTTGTATGTTTACTACTTTTTGAACTCTCTACGGCTTAATTTATGTGCATAAGTTTTGTCTGGCTTTGTTGATGAGCGCCTCCTATTTATGGAGCATATTGTCCTCTTTGGGCACCTGACTTGATAGTCAACACGAGTCTATTTTTACCATTTTCTGATAATTTATTTTTACTTGGCTAACATATCAAAACTGTTCTTCATGGATTTTCTGCTGCCTTGTTACATGGCCCTTCTTTTTGCATGGTCATGTGTTGTTTGTTCAGTTTCCTCAGTAATAATTCAGAAAGCCTGCTCTCACTGCTATTTGGTGCATTGATAACAATTAAAACATCTTTTTTTGTGTTATATGTATGCTTCCTTTTTACAACTTTGAAAGAACATTAATATGAATTCATTATCAGGTAAATGCATCAGTTGTTATTATCTTGGAGGGAATTCTGGTTTTCCATGACCTGTGTGTTCGCAACCTTATGAATATGAAGATTTTTGTTGATACAGGTTTGACCTCATTCACTTGTTTCTTATGGTTGTAGTCATCCTCTTGCATTTATAGTAGATTTATCTTAATTGATTTCTTTGTTAACCTGTTGTATTCTTTTTCATTCTCCCAAGTCCCTGTTCATTTTATATTAAAGGATATTAATCTTAATCTATTACTGAGTTGCATACATTTTCATCCTGCTTTCTGTCTCCTCTCCCTAGGCCTGTGCTTATTTGCTAGCCCTTATGGTTCACTATCTTATTTGGCAATCTATTTCTTGTAGATGCTGATGTGAGGCTTGCTCGTAGAATCAGACGTGACACAGTTGAGAGGGGTCGGGATGTAAACTCTGTACTTGAACAGGTAGTTATATTTATCTCTATGCATTGTAATCAAGTTAATAGTCAGAACATCCTGAGTTTGTATGTTGTCTCTGACGGAAATGATATTTTCTTTACCATTCAGCATCTAATGTTCATTTGTTCAAGGTTAATAATTGTGTCATTTGTTGTTTGTTTACTTTGAACATGTCAAAAGACAGCAACTGCAGAGTGCTATAAGTTAAAGTATTCTCTCTCCTTTGCTTGTTGTGAAACAGAAGACTTCTATTTAAGTGACACCTATGTTCAAATTAGTAGTGTGGGATTTGAGTTAAGCTGATAAATAGTTATGTTGTATTATGTTTGTACTTCCTTCGGAGGTAATTGAGAACCAATGGCTCTTGAATGCAGATCTGCCACAGAGTGCAGAAATTGAATGCAAATGATATGGTGATCTTGTAATCATGATGAATTACAACCATGTAATTGAATGTATTTTGTGATTTGTGGCATTTGCCCTACTCAAGAATAAGTTTGAGATGATGATCAAATAGAGAATTGAGAGCATTCTTAACATATAGAACAATTTATAGATTGTCAAGACTCAGGCTTTATTCTTATCTTCATTGTGATGGGCTTGTCAGAACTAGGACTGGGAGTTTATGGAAGTTTTGTGATCTGGGGTGAAACTCTGAGGAAAATCCCACTGTAATAACCAAGTATTGTAGAAATAATAAAAGTTTCATGTATTGGGGAAATGGAATATCTGTGACTTCTGTATTATTCTAGTTTCCATAAAATTGCAAAATTTTAGTTATGTCCCTGACTCCCTGCTTGGATTTCTTATTTTTGAACTTCTGATAAATTGGGTTCTGCAGTATGCAAAGTTTGTCAAACCTGCATTTGATGATTTTGTTCTGCCATCCAAGAAGTATGCTGATGTGATCATTCCCCGGGGAGGTGATAATCATGTTGCCATTGATTTGATTGTTCAACATATCCGCACTAAGCTTGTTCAGCATGACCTCTGCAAAATATATCCCAATGTCACTGTGATTCAGTCAACATTTCAGGTATATCTCAGGTTAATGATGCCACTCTGGTATTGTTATTGACCTGTATTCATCTGTTTCATTTTTCATTCTTTTGATGTATGAGTGTATGTGTTTTCTAGCTGAATTTTTTCCCTAACATAAATTGCTGTCCATGACTTTGATGGACCTTACTACCCAAATATTTAGATAAATGATTGTTGAACCAGAATACCTGATTGTTGGCTTTAGGCTTAATTAAGTAGGTTCAGAGCTTAATGGTTAGAGAAATATTAAAGAGAAGCCAGCTATTGAGATTGGGATGTCATCATAACTTGAATTTCTGTTTTATTGTTTGAAATAAAAAAGCAGAAGACAGTATATGTGGTGTGGTCGAGGTCCAACAAGAAGATTGTTTTTGACATTAAACATATGATGCAACAACTCTGTTACTTTTAAGTTCTCTGTTACAATTTTATGTCTGATTTATGAGACTTGCGGTTCAGATAAGGGGGATGCATACTCTGATCCGAGATCGGGAGATTTCAAAGCATGACTTTGTCTTCTATTCTGATCGACTTATTCGTCTGGTATCTTCTGTTTCATAACTTTAGTTAATAATCTCTTCCTTTGGCCAAGGATGAAGGCCTGTGGTCCTTAAAAGTTTAGATTTTGACTTAGGTTGTGGAGCATGGCCTTGGACATCTGCCATTCACTGAAAAACAAGTAGTTACACCAACAGGTATTTATGGGAGAAAGAAAAGTGAGGTTTGAGCTCTTTTGAAATTCAGTCAGTTTTTTCACAATGGCTGATTTAGGGAGTATGCAAATGGAAACTGAAGTAAACTATTTATTTAAAATGTTCACTGATTTATTCTTGTTTCTTTGTAAATGTCATGGGTTTTAGATTATTGGTAGTGCTTTTTCAAGCAGTCAGTTTTTCTCTCCCTTTTCATGTGCCTCTGTTTATGTGTGCTTGTGTGTGGACTGCTTGGAATAGCTGGAATTTAAATTCTGGTGCTTGTATAAAATAATCTTCTGCCCATCTTTGAAACATGTTGCTGTTCCTTTTCAGGATCAGTATATACTGGGGTTGATTTTTGCAAGAAGCTTGGTGGAGTTTCCATTGTTCGAAGGTGAGCTTTGGATCTAGGATTGATTTTGTCAGTTATGGTTATGTGGCAACCAGTCTTGGTTTACTTGAAATTTGAAACTTGGGGCCAGCTTTCGTCTTTTGTTATAAAGCTATCATGATACCTCAAGTTCTTTCTCCATTGTCTTTCAAATTCTGAGTTGATACATGAACATTTTTCTTATAATTTTATAGTTTAGGAACTGTTGTAGGCTTTTTGTTTTGCATCCACCAACAAGGTTTCTCTTGTTTGTTAATGGCAGTGGTGAAAGCATTGAAAACGCATTACGGGCATGCTGCAAAGGAATAAAAATTGGAAAAATTCTGGTTCACCGTGATGGAGATAATGGCAAACAGGTAAATAATATTTTGTGGAAGAGACAGCCTGCTGGTAGAACTGTTGCTGAAGCATTATGAAGAGTTTATTTTAATAATCAATACATTATATTTTATGCTTGTAGCTTATATATGAGAAACTTCCCAAAGATATCTCCGAACGGCATGTACTGCTTCTGGATCCAGTTCTTGCTACAGTTAAAATCCATTTGTTGATTCCCCGAAGTTTTCTAGTTCTTTCCCAAATCTGATGTCTGCCCTTGTGCATTATTGCAAGAACAGGCTAACGGAGTGTGAGTAAACCTAAGAAGCCTTTACCTGTACTTCTCC